TAATTATAATATTAATATAAATATATTAATATATTAATTTCTTATATAATTAATTAATATCTTATATAAATCATTATAATTTAAATATTAATATAAAATCATACAATAATATAATTAAATTATCGAAAAATAAAAAAATGAAAAACAAAAAGATTACTTTTTATTATTCGAACAATCTGCAATACTAATATGTAGTTTAGAAACGATTTATTAAATAAATAAATTAAATCGACGTTATATAAAACGTTTAATCAGTCTTTCTCTCTATCTCTCTCTCTCTCTTTATTTTTTTCTTTTTTTTTTTTTTCTATCTCTGTTAACTTTTAAACGTATGTATAACAGGTTTAATGCGTAGAGTGCCGAGAAGAGAACAATTAGCCGATGAGAACACCCACGTTTAACGCAAGTACGAATGAGAGTGAGTATGAGAATGTGTGAGAGTGTATGAAAGAGAGAGAAAGAGAGAGAGAGAGAGAGAAAACACAATAAAGTTTATTTGTTCGTATGTGAGAAAGAGTGAACGATAAAGTATGTGTTTGTAAGAGAGAGAAAGAAAGAATGATAAAATGTATGTATGTATGTATGTATGTGTACGTGTATGTGTGTGTGTGTGTGAAAGAGTGAGAGAGAGAGAGAGAGAGAGAGAGAAACATACGTTAATGCGTATCGTCAATGGTCACTTCTACGAATGACAATTGTTGTACGTTGACTTATGCTTCTATAAATAATCTCTACAATTTCTAACTAGACAATTTCTAACTAGATCATGTATGTTGTGTGTACGTTAACAAAAACTCACAAACATGCTGATCTCGTTACCATCTAAAAAGAACTTTGAGAATATACGACATGTTAAAATGACTATAATACAAAGTTACAGATGATATAAAATTTATTATAATATATAGTATAATAGAAATAAATATTATTATTAATTAAAGAATAAACAAAAAAAAAAACAAAAAAAAAAAACAAAGGAAATTAAATCAAAAAATTATGCATTATAATTATATTGTAATAATTTATATAAATTTTTTTTTTATATAATTATGTTATAATAATTATATAAAAAATATTGTATAATATTTAAAAAAATTTTATTTTATAAATTATAATTTTATTAATATTATATATTATTTTTTACATAATTATTTAATAATTAAAATAATTTTTATTATTTTTTATTCAATATTTAATATAATTCTGTTAATTATATTTTATTTCAATTATTTTTTTCTGTTTTTGAAAGAAATAAAATAAGTAGTCTTTATAAAAGAAAAAACCAGAAATTGGTTTGAAATTCTAATTTGATTTTTGTTTCTTTATTAATTATAATTATAGTTATATTATAATGCGATTTATATAAATTTCTTATTATATAAATATATATGTAAATATATAATTATATAATTATGCATTATATTTCGTTATTTTAATTATTTTTTTTTTCTGTTGGTTTTTGAAAGAAATAAAATAACTTATTTCAATTAAAAAAAAAAAAAAAAAAAAAAAAAAAACAGTGAAATTGGTTTGAGATTCCGGTTTGATTTTTATTCCCTTATTAATTTAATCCAAGATATTTTGGACGTACGCGTATATGTGTGTATATGTGTGTGTGTGTGTATATTTTTTTTTTTATATCTTTTTCTACAAGATTCTACGAGTAAATACATTTTCAAGTATTTGCATACGTTGGGATTTTTAAACGCGTATATATTATATTATATATGTATTTGTAATCTAGGTACGTTCGAAACGCGGAATTACATTTTTTTTTTTTACCCCCAAGATAAACTTTTTTAATGCGTTTAACTAATTAAAAACGTTCCCATTAGAAGTGTAAAGCGAGAGAGTAATTTATATATATGCATATGTATGTGTATATGTATATGAATATGTATACTTATACAAGTAAGTAAATATATGTAAGTAAACATTTGTATAACGAAATTTATAATATTTTTAAATATATCTGTCGGTTAGTCAAAAATGTGAAAAACATGAAGAAGAAGAAGAAGAAGAAGAAGAAAAGATGAAATAAAATTTAACAAATATAAATAAAATTAAATGTTGACAAATAAATAAATAATTATGTTTCTTTTTGATCAGTATCAATAGTTTTAAAGTCTAATCATTTTTGATTAGTACTGATCATAAAAAAAAAAGAAAAAATATTAATATTCATTATGTTTTTTAATCAATGTTTATCAATGAATAATATTAAGATTTTATGAAAAACTTACGGGAGCGGCTGGGTGTCTCGCCGGCGCGGGGTACATCTTAATTTTTCTTGACTAGTTTTCCTTACACGAGTCACACGTTTACGGAGTGTCCTTCTTTTATGGTCACTTCATGAGCTCCATTATTCAGTTCGAATACTTTTTCCATCATCTCGACGATTTACGATAAATTCCATTAGTTTTGTTTCTTGATTTCTATTTTCTATTTCTTTCTTTCTTTCTTTCTTTCTTTCTTTCTTCTTTCACCTTCAACTAT